AATAAAAAATGATTCATCACACACAAGGGATCTAATAAGACTAACAGCTGATTTGTTATTAAAACCAATAAAAGCCAAAAGGCAGTAGGATGACATAATCAAAGTGCTGAAAGAAAAAAGACTATCAACCAAGAATTGGTTATTGTTTAAAATTGAAAGAGAAAGTAAGACATCCCCAGATAAACAAAAACTAAAAATTCATCACCAGCATACTTGCTGTATAAGGAATAATAAATACAGTGCTTCAGGCTGAGGTAAAAGGACACTGTGCAGTAAGTCAAATCCATAAAAAATGAAGAGCACCAGAAAGATAACTACATAGATAAATATAAAAGAAAGTATAATTTATTTTTTGATTCAATTTAAAATATTTTTAATATTTTTTAAATTTTAAATTAAATACTTTAAAGTATTTTTTAATTCTTTTCTTCCATCTGATTAAAATACAACTGCATGAATAATTATAAGTCTGTTGATAGACACATAACATATCAAGATATAATTTGACAATAAGTGCAAAGGAAGGAGTAGGAAGTGAAGCCATATGTAAACACAGTTTCATGATAGTAAAGAAATTAAGTTGGTATTAATCTAAAGTAGATTGTTAAAAATTAAAATGATAATTATAATCCCTAGGGGAACTATTAAAAAAAAAACTCAAATATATAGTAAAAATAACGACAAGGGAATAAAAATGATATACTAGAAAGTATTTAACACAAAATAAAGTAGTCATGAAAAAACAGAGGAACAAAAAATAAGACACAAAGAAAACAAATACAAAATGGCAAACATAAATCCTTTTTTATCACTAATTATATTAAATATAATGAACTGAGGCCTCTGGGTGACTCAGGGGGGTAAGCCTCTGCCTTTGGCTCAGGTTATGATCTCGGGATCCTGGGATCGAGCCCTGCATCAGGCTCTCTGCTCAGTAGGGAGCCTGCTTCCCTACTCTGTTTGTCTCTCTGCCTACTTGTGATCTCTCTGTCAAATAAATAAATAAAATCTTAAAAAATAAATATAAATGAATTAAATACTCCAAATAAAAGGCAGAAATTGGCAAAATGGATTTAAAAATATGACCCAACTATTTACTGTCTACAAGAGACATACTTGAGATTCAAAGATACATAGAGGTTGTAAATAAAAGGATGAGGGTGAAATACCATGCAAACAGTAACTAAAAGACAGCTGGAGAGGCTACACTAATACCAGAAAACAACAACAACAAACAAACAAACAACAAAACCTTTAAGACAAAAACTCAATAGGGACAAAGAAGGATATTTTGTAATGATAAAAGGGTCACTCCATTAAGAACATATAGGAAAAAGTGTTCATCATCATTAGCCATCAGGGAAATTCAAATCAAAACCACATTGGGATACTACCTTACACCAGTTAGAATGACAAAAATTGACAAGGCAAGAAACAACAAATGTTGGAGAAGTTGTGGAGAAATGGGAACCCTCTTACACTGTGGGAATGCAAATTGGTACAGCCACTATGGAAAACAGTGTGGCAGTTCCTCAAAAAGTTAAAAATAGAGCTACCCTTGTGACCTAGCAATTACACTACTGGGTATTTACCCCAAAGATAGAAATGTAGTGAAAAGAAAGGCCACATGCACCCCAATGTTCATAGAAGCAATGTCCACAAATAGCCAAACTATGGAAAGAGCTGAGATGCCCTTCAACAGACAAACGGTTAAAGAAGATGTGGTCCATATACACAATGGAATATTACTAGTCATCAGAAAGGATGAATACCCAACAGTTGCATCAACATGGATGGGACTGGAGGAGACTATGCTAAGTGAAATAAGTCAAGCAGAGAAAGTCATAATACAGTAAGACAACACAACACACTGTGGTAGAACAGAGGACAAAACCACATGACCATCACTAGAGATGCAGAAAAAAAAAAAACCTCTGAAAATATTTAATATCTTTCAGATAAAAACTCTCAAAAGTAAAAAAGAATGTCCTCAACTTGAACAACAGCATCTATGAAAAACATAGAGCTTACATTATACTTAATGGTGAAGGTCTGAATGCTTTCTCCCTGTAATCAAACAAAATGAGGATGTCCTTTCTCATCAGTTTTATTCAACTTTTACTGGAGGTTCTTGCCAGGGTAATTAGGGAAGAAAAAAAAGATCTCCAGATTGGAAAAGAAGTAGTAAAACAGAAGATGACATGATCTTGTATATAGATATACAAGGAGTATCTATATTCCAGAAGGAATATAGATACATATTACATATATATATATAACCGTAAGGAATAAACACACACACACACACACACACACACAATTAAAACTAATAAATAAGTTCATCAAGGTTTCAGTCTATAAGATGAATTTACAAAATAAATTGTATATGTCTATACACTGGCAATAACAATTCAAAGTGAATTAAGAAAACAATTCAATTTCCAGTAGCATAAAAAATAAGATACTTAAGAATAAAATGAACAAAAAAGCATAAAACTGACACTTTGAAAGCTATAAAACATTGTTGAAAGAAATTAAAGATCTAAATAAATGGCAAACTATCTCATGTTCATGGGTCAGAAGATGTACTATTGTTAAGATACTAATATTTCCCCAAATTGATCTAAAGATTCAGTGCAATCCCTATCAGAGTCTCAGCTAGCTCCTTGATAGAAATTGATAAGCTGAACCTAAAGTTCAAATGGAATTGCTAGGAATCCAAAACAATCCTGAAAAAGAAGAACAAAGTGGGAGGGAGGACTCATGCTTTCTGATTTCAAAACTTAGTACAAAGCAGAAGCAATCAAGGTAAGTACTGGCTTAAGGATAAACATCTAGATGAATGGAACAGAACTGAGGGTCCAAAAATAAACACTTATATTTATGGTCAACTGATTTTCAACAACAGCATCAAGACCGTTCATGGGGGAAAGCATAGTCTTTGCAATAAATGCTGCTGGTACAACTGGACACCCCTATGCAAAAAAAAAAAAAAAAAAAAAAAAAAAAAAACCCCCCCCCCCCAAAAAAAAAAAAAAAAAAAAAAAAAAAAAAAGTTGGACCCCCTTCACACCATATATAAAAATTAACCCAAAATGGATCATAGACCTAAACTTAAGGGCTATAATTTTATATATATGATATATATCATATATATATAATTTATCCAGAATATATCCATATATATATCCATAAATATATATTTGTCCATATATAGAACATTTATCCAGAATATATTTTTAAAACTCTTTAAAGTAAGGAATAAAAAGACAACCCGTTTCAAAACCAGCAAATAATCAGAATAGACATTTCTCCAAAGATGATATACAAATGGCTAATAAAGCACATGAAAGAAATGATTGCTCAAAAACATCTGTCATCAGGGAAATTTATGTCAAACTTATAATGAGATACCATTTCACACTCACCAGAATGGCTATAATCAAATAGACAATAACAAGAATTGGTGAGGATATGGTGAAAATGGAAAACTCCTACGTTGCTGGTAAGAACGTAAAATGGTGCAGCATCTTTAGAAAAATCTGGAAGTTACTCAAAGTTAAATAGAGAGTTATCATATGGCAAATCAATTCCATGCCTAGGTATATACCCAAGAGACCTGAAAACATAAGTCTACACAAAAAATGTATATGACTGTTAATGGAAGCATTATTCATTATAGCCGAAAAGTAAAACAACCCAAACATCTATCAATGGATGAATAGGTAACAAAATGTGGCATATCGATACAATGGAATATTATTCGGTCATACAAAAGAATGAAGTTATGATACATGCTACAACATGGATGAACCTTGAAAACATTATGCTAAGTGAAAGAAGCCAGACAGAAAAGGCCACATATTGTATGATTCCATTTAATGGGATATGTCCAGAAAAGCTAAATCCGTGGAGAATAGATTAGTGGCTAGCAGGAGGATAAATAGGGAAAGATTGCTAAAGGGCACAACTGTGAATATACTAAAACCCACATGTTGTACACTTTCAATGGGTGAATTTTATGTCATGTGAATTATATGTCAAGAAAGTGATTTTTTTTAAAAACAAGGTTATAAAATGGGAATAAATATAATCACATACATATATACTGATTCTAGCAATTATATGACAATACTAAAAATTTAATGAAATCCTACTCTTACTCAGTGGGTCTGAGTCTTTGTAAGATTCTCTGACACTGGAAGAAAAGACCTCAAGTGAGTAAGAGGGAATGAATTCTTCTACCCTAGAAGCCAGAGACTGTTTATCTTTTCCAGGTAGAATATGATCCATTGAAAGATCTTTGTCTCTTGGCCACTTGTTGACCTGCTTCATGGTAACAGTCAGTTTTTCAGCAAGAAATACAGTTCATGATGAAGGCCATCTTCTCTCTGCAACTCTGATACAGTGACCTCCTTCCCTGCCTCCACCAGCGTAACTTTCAGCCCTACAGTCCCTTAAAGAAAAGAAAAAAGAGCCTCTTCCTTCACCATCCAGTAGAACCTCCGTATTCCCCTGGTTACTTCCCAGGTCAACATACGCTTGTGGCATTCTCACTCCCATGCCAACCTCACCTTCCTGGCAGGAGTGATGAGTCTGCCACTTAGTGTTCCATGTGGGATTGAATTAAGACAAAGGCTATTAAAAATGACATCAAAGGTAGAAGAAATAGTCCACAAAACAGGAGCAGAATGCTAAGGTGGTTTGTAGGCTTCATAACAAATGTAGACAAATAACTTTGAGGTGTTCTGAGGGAACATGCATGTCAAAAGGATATCAAGAGAAAATTGAAAGAAATCTTCACATTCGTCTCATTGGTTTTATAATAAAGGTCCTTTGGCACAACCTTTTAAATCACATTTCCTAGACTGAACATAATACACTTTCACATGCACCCTTCAATTTTATATTCCAAACTTTGTCCTTCTAATTCCTACAAAATAAACTAGACAGACAGGCAAATGCTGATTCAGAGATCACATTTTTTATATAGAACTTACCACTCTCTTTTCCCTGAAATCAATGCCCACTGTCGTGATAAATTTGGAGTTAAATTTACCATCTGTGTACTGGTAAAGTACACTGGTCTTCCCTACTCCAGAGTCTCCCAAAGCCAAAAACTTGATGAGGTAATCGTAGTCGCCATCAGACATAATGAAGAACTCAGTGGTTCACCTGTAAAATATTAAAAAAATGCATATTTTCTAAAAAGCCATTAAGAAATATTAGCATCATCCGTGAATAAGGTGAATTATATTAATACCCAGTTCAATAATTACTGTGTGACACCCATATGCCAAAGGGTTCTGTGAAGAGGATTAGATAGTATTCACTGCCCCAAGGACCTAATAATTTGCTAGAGGAGATGTTAGTAAAATAATAAATAACAGTTTAATTTAAATTTAATGTGCATATTATAGTACCATTAAGACAAAAATTCCAAGTCAGAAAAAAAATTAAGAAGATAACCAGCACTAAGTCTTACATGCAGATCACACAGAGTAACAACTTTAAAAAAGAAAGAAGGAAGGAGAATGTTACAGGAATAATAATAATTCTTAGAGTACAAGTGGTTCCAATTCCCCTTTCTTTTTCAAAGTCTCCTAGTGCTAGATCCTTGGTTTTTCTCTTTTACCAGGACATCTAGGCAATTTCACTTATCTTATTTATTTTCAAAGGTCATTATAGTTCCTTCAAAGACTATGCTAAATTCTCAAGTAAAATTTGGCTGTGGCTTCCTTATTTTTTTTTTTTAAGACTTTGTCTATTCATTTGACAGAGAGAGAGATCACAAGTAGGCAGAGACAGAGAGGAGGAAGCAGGCTCTCTTCTGAGCAGAGAGCCCGATGTGGGGCTCCATCCCAGGACCCTGAGATCATGACCTGAGCCGAAGGCAGAGGCTTAACCCACTGAGCCACCCAGGTGCCCCTGTAGCTTCCTTATTTTGATAATGATGATGATGATGATGATGATGATTATATACTGCATATTAAGTCAGACTTTTCAGAATACCACTGCTCCCCTGGGAGCTAAATTCCGGATTTGGCCAGTCACTATCCAGAGATCACAGTTCCATTACAAAGTGCTCATCTCTCTATACTTGCCTGGGTACTCAAACAAGAAATGCTACCAATTCAGGTCTTAGATACTGACTAAAATGAAAGTATTCCTTAGAGAAGAAAAATTCTTGTTTTTACCAACAAGGCCTAATAACCATGGTAATTTTTATCTTTTTTCAATGAACACTTTTCATGACTTGTTTTTATTCTCTAAATAGATTCCAACTATTCAAAGTATCAGTCCAGCTGAAAATGTAGTCTATCTCCAGGGAAGGCTTACTTCTTTTTATGCTTACATTTCTAATACCAATAAACCCTCCAGAAAAATCAGGGAAATAGTCAGCTATCCCACCACCACTGACAACTCCATATGTCATTCAAACATGCATGTTCACCCATCCCATCATCACCCCCACACATTAGATGCGCTACATTAGATACTGCTGATTTTCCTCTCAATGTCTAATTTCACCCAGCCTCACATTGAGAAACTTTACAATTCTCAATGCTTCCTATAGGATTATCTCTATAGATCCTCAAAATTAATAAAAGCTCAAGGAAGGAAATTTATTGATTTTCAAGGGTTCCTCCCCCGACCCCATCCTCAATTTGGTGACTCACCTTATGCTCAAAATTCCTGAACGCTGACCCCCAAGAGCCACTGCAATTTACTTCTTCATACTGCCTCAGCAAAGATCTGGGACCTAATACTCAGATATGGCTAGTCAGCTGATAAGGGCAGAGACTCCACAAACATTCATATTTGCAAACTATAAAGAATGACACTTCACAGATAACGGCTTCCCTATATTATAGCTTCTGTATTTACAGGTTTAAGTTGCCAGTATTAATGGTATATAACAGAATTCCTCTCTAGAAGATGACCAACAGGGTACAAATAAATATTCTAGCCCATCATATCATAAGATCTCATTTAGCTCCAAGTTATTCATTAATTAGAGCTAAGAATTAAAAAGCAGGTCCAGATAATGTTTAATCATTTTGGAGGTTCCTCTAAAAATAAATGAAGAAGCAGAAAGCAACTCCAAATTCTGCAATGAGAATGATACAAGACAACACTGTCGTTACCTTACTTCCTCTTTACTTTTTAATTTGAACTAAGGGTGGTCATTCCTACATCTATGTTTTTATATCATTTAAGGTGTAGGAGAAAATGCTGTCACCAATGGCATCAATTTTCTAGAACTCTCTAAATCTACTTGAATGGAATTCAAAGACAGATCAAACTATATTGGCTGCACCAAAATTTACTGTGTTTAGTTATCATGGGAGAAGAATCACACATATAAATCTTAAAATTTTCTTTGTGGGATTTTCTATTCATATTGACAGCAATACATAACAGTTTGTTCCCAAATCAAGACATCATAAACAAACATAACAATCATAACAAACCAATACAACTGCTGAAGGTATATAAATATCACCATCAATATTAATCATAGTTTGCACTCTTCAGATCACACCTCTAGGCAATCTGCCTCGTTAATCCGAAAATAAATGTCTAGACCTCTCACTTTCTGGGTTCAGTTTTCCAAAGGATGAAATAGAACCCATAGAGGTTAACTCATTTGCACAGTCTAGAATACAAATCCCTTAACTCCAGGTTCAATGTCCTGTCTACCTCCAAGCTTATTGTCTGTTACTCACACTTCCACAAATGTATGTTGGGTTTAAAGGTGACCAGGTATTATATCATACAAGGTAGCCTACTAGGAAACACATGACCTCCAAAGTCAAGTTGACCTGGGCTAAATTCCATGTTTCCCACATACCTCAGATGTCTCTGAGTCTTGGATTCAGGTTTCCATCCTATGAAAAAGAAGATACTATACACTCCTTCACACCATTGTTCTAAAGATTAAACAAGATACTTTGTGAAGCACCCAACACAGTGCTTGGCATATGCTGGACACTGAGTAAATGTTAGCTCACCCTCTTTACCCCATTCTGGACAGACCAGACTGGCCCTGAAGACCTAGCACAATCTCTGAAATTATCTCTGAGTAGCTCAAAACACATTTCTAGCATAAAGGAATTCTGACTGGCTCAGAGTCATTTGCTGAGTCAACACAGACCACTTTCAAAGTAATTCTGATCTTTTTTGGCTGATTTAAAACATTTTCATTTTAAATTGACCTGATTATTGCAAAAGAAGTTATGACCAGCCTAAAAACAGGTTCAAATCTGTATAAAACACTGCAGTCCATGCTACTAAACTCATCTTGTTAAAAAAAAAAAAAAAAAAAGAGCCATTCAGATTTTTTTTTAAGTATTTATTTATTTATTTATTTATTTGAGAGAGAGAGAGAGCGAGCATAGAGAGAGAGAGCAAGCACAAGTGGAAGGCAGAGGGAGAGGGAGAAGCAGGCTCTCCACTGAGCAAGAAGCCCAATATGGGGCTCGATCCCAGGACCCTGGGATCACAACTTGAGCTGAAGGCAGATGCTTAACCAGCTGAGCCACCCAAGTGCCCCCTGAATGGTTCATTTTAGTTCAGAATGAAAGAGTTGAGTTCAAAGAGGTTACACCTACAAAACTACTTCTGGCTGATCTAAAGCCACTTTGACTAAAACTAAATATATTTAATGAAAATTACTTGGGTCGGGGCGCCTGGGTGGCTCAGTGGGTTAAAGCCTCTGCCTTCAGCTCAGGTCCTGGTCTCAGGGTCCTGGGATGGAGCCCTGCATCTGGCTCTCTGCTCAGCAGGGAGCCTACTTCCTACTTTCTCTCTCTCTCTCTCTCTCTCTCTCTCTCTGCCTGCCTCTCTGCCTACTTGTGATCTCTGTCAAATAAATAAGTAAACCTCAAAAAAATTATTTTTGTTTCAGGGTGCCGGGGTGGCTCTGTGGGTTAAGACTTTGCCTTCAGCTCAAGTCATGATCTCAGGGTCCTGGGATCAAGCCCTGCATCTGGCTCTCTGCTCAGCAGGGAGCCTGCTTCCCCTCTCTCTCTCCCTGCCTCTCTGCTTACTTGTGATCTCTGTCACAAGGTCACATACACAAATAAAATCTTTTTTAAAAAATTATTTTTCTTTCTTATTCTTGTTATTCAAGTCTTGAGTGGTATTTCAGGGGCCTAGTTTCCACAAAGAAAATACTTCAATCCCCAAATATGGAAATAACATAAATGATGTTTATGTTGGCGTTTTAGAGTGGAAAGTTAAACACTGAAAACACACAGTGCAGAATTTGACATTTGGGACACCCAAACAACATTTTGTGTGTACTATTTGCAGTGAGCATTCCAGCCTATTGATGCTTAAGAAGCCGGTTCATGGTTTTTCCCAATTGCATTACTTTTGTTAAAAATGGGTCAGAAGCCAAGGTCAGATGCCCACACACCAAGTACTTCACAGTCCTTACCACAGCCCTACAGTAAGGTGCTACATACCAGAAACACTTCCTCTCTCAGTAGGATCTCAGTGCCATTCTATCATGAATGCCCCAATGAGAAGATAAGTAAGTGGGTCTTGGGCAGTCTATTCACATGCTATCATGGGCTCAATTCCAGCGCATTGTTGAGAGAAAAAAGTGGAGGTCAAGAACATGGACTCTAGAACCAAATCACCTGGATGTGAATCCAGTCATTTCACTTTATTTTTTTTTTAAGATTTTATTTATTTATTTGACAGAGAGATCACAAGTAGGTAGAGAGGCAGGCAGAGAGAGAGAGGAGGAAGCAGGCTCCCCGCTGAGCAGAGAGCCCGATGCGGGGCTCCATCCCAGGACCCTGGGATCATGACCTGAGCCCAAGGCAAGAGGCTTTAACCCACTGAGCCACCCAGGTGCCCCCCCAGTTATTTCACTGTAGAAAATTCAATCCCTTGGTGTGCCTGGGTGGCTCAGTCCATTAAGCGACTGACTCTTGATTTCAGCTCAGGTCCTGGGATCTCAGGGTTCTGAGAGGGCTCCAGCCTGGAACTCTGCACTCAACTCAGAGTCTGCCTATCTCTCTCCCTCTGCTCCTCCCTCTTCACGCTCTGTCTTCCAAATAAATAGATAAATAAAAGTTTTGTAAAATAAATAAAAGAAAAACAATTTTTAAAGAAAATGTAATTCCTTTTGCCTCAGGTTCCCCATTTTAAAAATGGAA